ATTATCTCATTATTATATTGGATTACGGTGTCTTAATCAAAATATTATACAATCATATGCATTACTGAAGCTGAAGAAAGACACATCCACCCCCTTTTCTTTGCCTGTTAAACCAGATCTCAAATTTGGACTTCTATTAAATCAATCCAACAATCAGGCTGTATCAGATGGTTCAGACGTCTGTATCAGATGTCCAAAGTTATGGCTGTCTCTTGTTGGTTGACATTTGTTTATGTTTTGTTGTTGTTGTTGTTTTGTTTTTAAATTTCTATTCTGTAATAATTTGTGATTACAGCTTTAGATGTGGCTCATGATATTGGTCTATGTAAGCAGTCCTTTTGTGTTTTATTAAATGCATTTTACTTAAAGTCTCATTGAAATATCTTTCACTACTTAGCTGAATGGTCATATCTGCTGGTTATTATAAGATGCCACTATTCTTTCTTGCTCCTGCTGCTGTTCTGTGCATACAAATCCTGTTTCAAAAAGATTTTCTTCCAGTTATACTAAGCAAATTAACATAAGGTCAGTGCAGGGCAAATATTATTTGGGATTTTTTTACTGCCCGTATTCTTTGACTGATTCTTCACTAATTTTGTTGAAGATGAACAAACCATGATAAATGTAGGATATCAGAAACCTCCAATTATTCATTCATTCTAATTTACATTATTTTTTTTACTATAAAGATTTTTCAGTGAATTTCTGGATGAGAATTTAACAAAAACATGCTTGCTGAAATTTGAGTTTAAGAACAAATTTGGGGTTAGCTTTTTCAGGTGCAACAAAACTCCTACTTTAAAAAAAAACATTTGTACAGAACAGCAATTATAAGATGGTGAAGGCACACTCAGATGTACTGTTCATCCTTCCACTGAGCTGAGACTCAGTGTACCGAGTACTGCTGACAATGCTTGTCATCACTGCGGCTTACCACCCAAAGTTTTCACCCCTTTAGTCTGCTGGCACAGTGACATACATTTACTCTGTCCAAATGTTCATTTAGTTTAAGCAATTAATACTTTTAATGATTTGGACTTTCTCACTTGGTCTATCTCAATAAAACTTGGCTGGAGCTGATCGTGTGGCTATGCTGGCAGAGCTAAAAAGGTGATAATGTCCATCTAAGAGAAGGCAGTGATGTGACAAGAATTTGGGACAGGGTGGAGGAGTTCAGTTCAGCACAACTGGAAGAGGACATGGGACCACAGTCTGAAGGATGATGTTTCAGTAAAAGTAATTTTTCTCATTTGTCTCCTTCTACAGGAATATTCACAGACTGTTTCTGGTTTGGTCTCAGTGTTAGTGGGGCCTTTATTTTGCTTCCCAGTGTTAAAACTCCTTTGTTTTCAGTGGAGTTTCTCCAGATTAACAAGTGAGATCAAAATAGTCAGGCAGCAAATCAATAGGTTTGCTAAGCTTAATAGAAAAGGTCCTTTATCTAGACACTCTAACTCCTTTTCCAATAAAAGCCTATTAAAATGATACTAACATTAGCAGTATGGGAAATAGCTTGTGCATACAGGTTGATGAAATGAAGCATATGGTGTGTCTTGACTTGCCATTTTCAGTTCTGCTGGGAATACTGTCGTTAACCCACCATCAAAACTCTATACCATGCCTATAAAATGATTGGCATTTATAAAGGTAAATATTGCACAGTGACTGTTCAAATGCTTCTTCTGTTACAAGAGCTATTGCAACTGCTACAGATAGTGAGTAATATGTTGCCAGCACTGACACTGAAGAGTACTGAAGAGAGTCAAACCGGGTCATAGATTCAAAGGAAATGCTTAAAACATGGATCCCATGGGAAAACAAAAAAAAAAAACAAAAAAAACCAACAAAAACATTTGAAAGAAATTTGAAATGAAATTAAGAATTGTCAGTCTCAGCTACTCAGCCTTGGAGAGTATCTTTCTTTCTCCAGGCAATGTTAATTAGGAAAATTTAGTGGGCTGTACATTCACACAAATTGTTTTAATAGTATTCTGAGAAAATTCAATATAAGCTCTGCTGAATTAGATAATATGTATTATTATCAATATTTAAGGTGACTTTTCTCCTTTCAAACCTAATTTGATATTAGTAACTAAAAAACAATTAACATTTTTTCCTAGGGGAAGCTGATGAAGACAAGTTTTATATTCTATAGGTTTACTTCTCTTCTATGTGTTTTCCTCCTCTCTCTTTCTCTTTTTCGTAGAAGAATTAACTCTTCAGTAACTTAAAGGGTCCCCATTTGTTAGTCAAATAAGAGAGAGAGTATCATATGGCATACAAGACTTATCAACAACTTGAGTATTTCCAACAAATTATGCCTAATCTGTGGTCTCAGATGAATCCACAAAATCATTAACTGAATTATTAATAATAATCAAATTTCTTAAAATTAGAATGAAATATATGTCATGATCTCTCTGTTTGCAGACAGCTTGAGAAGAGCAAAGTGAATTAAATTTAGCAAATAAATTGTCTCCAGCAAATTGTTCTTATTACAGTTGCTGCTCCTTCTCTATTCTTTTCTGGTCTCTTGACTACAATAAAGCTCATTACACCACATAGGTTTTCAAATGTACACATAAAGAGAAAATATAATCTTGTCTGTGAAGTGAGTTTACCCCAATTGTCACAGTTTTTAGTCTACCTAATAGTTTATTAACTTGCAGTTTATTAGATGTCTGAATAATCTACAAATTTGACCATGGATTTCTGAGATTCTACATGCTCTAAAATGAGTTTCTTTAAAGGACACTTAATTTTTTTGGTTTTGCTTTGCTTGTCTGTGTGGCTTTTCCTTTCACTATTAAACTGTCTTTATCTCAGCTCACAGGTTTTCTTGCTTTAAACCTTCTGATTCTCTCCTTGATCGCTTTGGTGGGGGAGTGAGCAAGCAGCTGTGTGGGACTTGGTTACTGACTGGGCTTAAACCACAACAACCATGCATTAATATGAGCATAAGCATTTGCAAGAACAAGCAGCAATTTTAGAGATAAATTTTCACATTTTGGGAACTTAAAATATTTTATTGCTAACTGAGACAAGGGTCTGTATGTTTGTTACTTCAGTCTATCATCTTTTAACCCTATGTATTTTTAATACATTTTATTTTGTAAGGGTAAAAAAATAATTTTATTCAAGCATTATGCTATAATTTTACCAATCCTATTAAAGCAGTGGTCAAACTAATATCACAATTAAGGTAAATTAAGAATTCAAATTAATTGTATTCAATCATTAGATTAGTCCAATAGGTAATAAAATAAAATGATAATGTTGACACTACACATTAATTTTTGATATAACTAAGGAAAACATGAAGAGGACCCTCTTTATCTGCAGTCCTGCACTCCATCTAAAATATCACCCCTCCAATGTATTTGCTCTGCAGCTGCAGGACATTATCCTGAGACCCTCCATTGCCTTTTTATGCTTTTGCCAGTCTAAATTCACTAAGCAGCTGATAACCTTGACTCCTTGTAAGGAAGTATAGCTATTCAAGTGCTTCTTTAGCACTTTTTCCTTAAAATCATTGTCTCACTTTCCCATTTCACATGATAACTTTGGGGTGATAGTGCAGATGTGATGATGATTAGATGATGCACTGTAGCAGTTTTTGACTAACATCATCTTTCAGTATAGAAGCCACAGAGTAATTCAAAAACAGTTCGGTGATTATTTTTAGGAGACTGTTAAAGATGTAGTTCACAAACACACGTGCTTTCATATTCATATTCATCATTCATATGTACATAATTAATGAAAACAAAAATGTTAAGAACAAATTTTTAAAAATTCTGTTTCTGGGGATTCTTTAAAAAATAGGTGGTCATATAATATCTTCAATTATGAGCTCAGTATTTTAGCTTATGCTGGGTCTTGTTAAGGTGCAATCTGATCAGGCTGGTCTTTGTGACACAAATCTTTCATCAGTTCTCCAGCTGAAAAACCTGTCCAGGAAAGAAACATAACTGTGACTGGTGGAGCAAGAGAACTGCTTTTTTCTGTTTCATCTCTGCATAAACCTTTGAATAAGGGTTGCTGCCTTCTTGCTCTGGCAGAGCAACTTCAGTGTGAATTAGGTTGAGAAGACTTCTCAGGGTTCAAATGTTTTTCATCATTTTTTTTATTGCTAACTAGTCCCTTCAAAACATCTTTGTATCTTAAAATCATGCTGGAAATTCCATCACAAATAACATTAAATTTTAACAGTTATCAACCCCAATTGAAATGAGAGGATAATTCATAAATCTATAAAGCAAAAAAGGCGGAAAGTCTTTTTGCCAAGAGTTTAATCTCTGTTTTCCCTCTGAGGAAACAGGAGAACAGGTGAAGACCAAAAAATCCAAAATCCCATATTGTGGAACTGACACCATTTTCTTTAGGATTCTTACTTTGGTGTTTTAAAAAAAGTAAGACTATTGTGGACTTTTTAACTGATAGAGAATAGTGGAACTTATTTCAACATAACCATCTCTAATATTTTTCCTTAAATTCAGTTACTTTTATTGAAACCAATCATTCAAATTTATTCAAATCTGGAATGAAGTTCATCATTCTTTCCTAAGAAAACAAAATACCTTTCTGTGATGTTTCTTTCCACCCTTCTTATTCCCTGTATTTCATCCCTCAAATGATAGCCTTGGCGTATATTTTGTTGAGAGTACGACATGTTTAAAATGGTATCCCTGTAGATCATTAAACTTGAAATTTGGGAAGGAAAATCTCTCACAAACTGAGAATAAGCAGCTGATAAATCTGTGTGGGCAAAGAAGCAGTTTAGCTCTAAATTGTAGAACCACTAAGGAGATAAATCCTTCTTAAGGCAGGCATTTAGCATCTTTAAACTTGTTCTGGCTCTGTTCGTCTGGTTCTGTTGGTATTTATTGAATTAACAAAAAAATTCTTGCTTTTCTTATCACTTCTGCACTTCAAAATACACTGATAATTTAATTCCATCATTCGGTTTCCATATGACTTTTTGATTCTGAATTTTTCAGGTGGATGTTTTTCAAGTGGAAGCAGTAGATGTTGGGATTCTGCAAAGGATGGTGGTTGAAAAAGGAAAAGGTTCTGACTGGTTTCTGGAGAATATTATTGTGAAAGAATCATCATCTTCAGGGACAGAAACATTGTTTATGGCTCATAGGTGGCTTAAAGACAGACGCAATGGAAAAATATCTGCCTCAGTAGCTCTGAATGCCACAGGTCAATACTATCTTCAAACTATCATTTGCTAAGAAATTTGTTCCAAACTGTAGAATGCAACTATGTGATTTGCTTCTACAAAGAAGTTATGGTTTAAATTCTTCCAGTAGAAAATTGTCATTATATAGGGAATTAGTGCGTCTGAACACTGTTGTGTTTTAGTAACATTTAATAACCATTATTTGCCAGAGGATAATTTCTGCTTTGTTATTCCAGATTTACAGTGGCATAAATGGCAACATAGTTGGCCTATTTCTTTACAAACTGCTGCCTCTCTTAAGTCTTACTTTTACATTTGCAAACTATTTTTTAAGCTTCAAATACCTCTCCCAAATACTTGCTAGGCAGGGTGAAAATGAGGTAAAAAGTGGGGCAAAATATTTTTAAGCAGTGAAGAAAATGTCTCCATTGTATTGAAGATGACTGCTTTACAATATTTATGTTACGTGGTTTGGACAGCTTTTGCCAGAAACTGGAAATATTTTTGACTGACGCCATGTGAGTAATCAGTCCACAGAGGCACAGTTTTCACCCCACTGCCTGTGACTGCACTCTTTGTCAAAACAAGAAGGGAATGTACATCCTCCCTCTCTGCATCATGGTTTCAATACAAGCATGTATTTGAATGCAACCTGGTGTGCAAGATAAAACTGAACCATAGCACAGTCCAACCAGACCAGTAGGCAGTCAAAGCTCAGTATGTACCTCAAATACTGATGTATTTCAAATAGTCCTACCTCTAAGAGAAGTAATTAACAGTATAGATGAGTCCTTAGATTAGAGAAAATACTCTAGTTCTTTTCCACCTAGCTCCCAGGGCATCTCTGCTCACCATAGCAGCATTTGGCATTACTGTTCTTGTCCAGCAATAGCCTCTTGACACCGAATAGGATTCCAATTCAACCCGTTTCCTCTGCTTTAGCGTCACTAACTTTTGATCATTTGAAACCAGAAAGAAAAGGAGGAAGCTGCTATTGCACAAAAGCAAATAATTTCAGCTTTGTTTTAGATTGTATGTTGTGCCTTTTCTTTAAAAAAAAGAAAAAGGAATATTTAATTTCTGTTTCTACCAGACTGCATTGATTTGGACAAAGTGTTCCTGTGAGTTTCTTTGTACAATAATTGGCAAATCTAATCTGGGTTATGAACTCAAAAGAAGGCTTCTCATCTTCAGTTCAGGCCTCTACCTAATGTTTATAAACAGTTTTTGTCTATACCAAATCCCACTGAAATCAATGGAGACTAATATCAGTACAAGGACCATCAGCCCCTAGAATTGGCATTAAACACATCCAATTAGTGCTCATTCATCCAGAGCATGAATTGTACAAATGAAATAGAAATGCTTTAAAATGAAAAATACTTGAATCTTCATCTTACAACCATTTCATAGTAAAGAGCTAGCCCTAGAGTCAGTTCATTAAATAGGATGATATGTAGGAGATGACGCTTAAGTAGAAAATCACACTGTACACTTCCTAGTTAAATCTTTAATCTAAATGATATAATACTCAGTCAATTGCCTCACTAGAGATGAATACAGACATTTATTATCATATAGACACTGTTCTACAGAAAATATTAATTTGATCTTTTTTTTTTAATTAGAAATTCATGAAAGAAGGAGCACTTCTGCCTGGCCTTTAGAAAAAGAACAAATGAATTCAGGTATGGCTTCTGTAATTACATTGACTGTTTTATTGATCATTTCTGAAATAATAATGGGATAATATTTTCATCACAATATGTCATTACACTTACAAGTACTGACAATAGTTTCCCCTTTGTAGGAGTAAGAAATGACAATATACTTATACTTGATCAGCACTCAGGTGATATGCTCGTAAAATAATGCTCCCCATGTAGACTAAGAGTCCTAGAAATTTTATATCAGATAGCTTGGTTAATATATGAAAACAGAAACATCTTTACAATTTTTTTCCTTTTTATTTTCCCTATTTTATTTGTTCAGAAGGCAGATGGAGGTTTTATTTAACAAAACATCAAGAAGAAACAAAACCAGAATTTGAAAAGTTGTCAGAAAATATATCCAAAATGGTTATAGTTTTTTATGGAAGCAAAGGCAAGTCAAATCCAGTTTCCATGGAAAACAGAGTGGATCATCAGACTAAGAACCAAATAACATATGATGTAAGATATGCCTATATTTAAATTTTCTTTGAGTTTCCTTTTAAAGTGCAATAATCATGTATTATTGTTTAAATATTCAAGAAAAAGAGAACTGAAATTTTTAGTTGCACACCCAATTTCACTTTTTAATTTTTGTGTCTTTCTCAAGTTCATGATGATCAAGCATATTCTTTCCCCCCTCGCCAACAAGTAGTTATTTATGCATATCAATTTAAATGGCATTAATGTTACATATTCACAATTTAGAAATCAGTGTGGTATGTAATTTGAATTTGATGGAACAACTACAATGAATGCCCCTAGAGAATAAAGTTAAAATATCCTTAAGTGCCTACAGTCAACCTGGTTCTGCTGCTTTTGAAGTCAATGGGACTTTTAGCACCCAGACTGATGCAAAAGGGGTCCAGGACTGTTCTGACCCCTTTAAAGCAAACTTCCTCTCTTGCTATAAATTACCTATGCATTTATCTCTGTTTGGGCGCTAACTCATGGTTTTATTGCTTCCTAGATACATTTACCATCTGATTTGGGAATGCTTTTTAAAGTGAGACTTGGTCTCCAGAGTTTGGAAAACAGCATATCCCAGTTGTCTCTTCATCACTTTAAAATACAGAACACATCAACCCTGGATACCTTTAGTCTCACCATAAATAAAACACTTCCTCTTTCTCTTAATGGAGACAGATGGATTGAATTCCCTATACAGTGGCCATTAAAAGAAGCACTTTCGGGTAGGTATAAATCTACTTCAAAACAGTAGACTGGTCCAGGAGGTTTACACATCCTAGTATAACAATAGAAACCTTTATCAAAACAGAAATTTATATTTTTTTTATTTAATGATTCATAAAGTCTGGATAAAGATTCAAAACGTATGAAGGAAAATGCTATCCATTCAGCTTAATTTCAGTACCATAAAATGGTAAGTGCAATATTCATTTGATTGCACAGAACCATTATTATATACTACAAAGAACAGTTTATAAGAAATAGCCCTTTCTTGCAACACTGTAATATTTCTATTCTCCTTTATTTAGTCTTCAGCAGCTAGTATTACTGACATTAACAACATGACTTTTTATAGCTCATTTACTATTAAGAGATTTTGTTGTTTGTTTGCACATTCAAAACAAAGACTCTCAGTAAATAACAGCTCAAAACTACATATAAGCTTCAGCTTTATTACCTTTATATATTCCAAATATTTATGCTTGTTAAAATTAGTTCAACAATTCTTTCATATGTCACCTTGGTTAAGTAAAATAAAAGAAGTCTTTTCACCTAAAATCCACAATATCTTCTCATGCGTTGCTTACTGAATGCTACCATAAAATGATTATCAACTAAATTAGCAGACCAGTTAATGATACTTAATATTCAAATAATTTGTGTCTGAGTTTTATGCAGAAACCAAATAATTCAGTTCATCTAAAGTGAGTTGAATTAGATGTTATATTAACTACCACAATACACTTTGTATTGGAACTTGTATTGGCCCAGTTTCAGTGAGGTGTTTGTAGGTATGCAAATAATCTCAGTAGAATTAAGAGAGATTGAGGGTTTTTGTTTTTTTCATATTTTGGCTTCAATCGAAAATGTAAATTTTGTATTTAGGCTTTAGATTTTATATTGCTTAAAGATGTTATTTTCACTTGAAGACATCCGAAGTATGAGTACAAAATAAGGCTTAATGGCTTTCTTCTCCCACACTTAAGACTGAAGAGAAAAGGACCTTCAGATTAACATAAGGGCCATGAGTGTGCCCCTTGCAAAAGCCTGATCACTGTCACATGCAGAAGTATGTAGGATACAGGTACAAGCACACAGAAATGATTAAAGATCCAGCATGGGTGATAAAGGGCAGTGAGTCTGGAATCCCAATGACCTTTGTTCTGACTCTGGCTCTGTCATCTTTCACTCTTGGTTGAAAAAATAATTTCCCCATTCTTCACCATTTGTTTGGTTGGTTGTTGTTTTTTGTAATATTTTTATTCTTTGTAAATGCTCTGTGATGGAGAAATGGAAAGAATCATAAACAAGGAATAGGTGTTATATTACCTATGTGTTTAGGTAAAATAACAAACAAATTAAATAGCTCATCTCTGTGGCTTTTATTTGTTTCCACACATACTTTGGAAGTCTTCAAGGAGGCTTTGTAACCACAGTGAAGAAAAAAACTAGAACAGTAATTCCCCCAAATCTTTGCTGTTTATGTCCAAGACAGCTTTAAGCAGCATCACAGCAGGTGGTACATGTGGAGTTCAAAGTGATCTTTACACACAAACTTACTTGCAATTTATTGTGCAAAAGAGATATGTTTTTCTGTCAGCTTTCTAAATCTAATTTATTTTCTCCTCAGTTTTCTTTTCCTCAGCTAAAAGCAAAACCAGTATTGTGTTAATTGGAATGGAAAGCAGCTGATCATAATCATCATAACCAGAAGCCATGTACTGTTAAATTTCAGATACAGCTCTGTCATTCATAGAGTGACTTAATATTTCATCTCTCAGTTATATTTTCTTTTTTCTTTTTTTTTTTTTTCCTACTTGGGATTGCGATGGAGCATATGCTAATGGCTAATTGAAACCATCAAAACAGAGTTGATAAAATACAGTACAGACCCTTGAGATCCAGCTGTGCACACATGTGCCTTTGGGTGTATTAATGGGCAGAGGCCTCCAGCTGAATAAATACATAAATAGTTTCTCTTCGTTGTACCTCCCTTTGAGATGCTAACACCTCAGGAATCCCCAGGGATGACATGCTGCTCTCTCTCTCCTCTTATATTCAGGGCTGTACAGAAGGTGAATTTTGCAAATCTGTAGTTTTTAAGGAAAAACAATTAAATGTTGAAAAGGTGTAATAAAAATGCATTAAGCTACTTTCAAATTGATTATTTCCACAAAGTTAACAAAGAACTGTAATTCACACTGAGATTATGAAATAATTTGAATTTTATAAAATTAATGGAGTTGTAACGTTCATATATGTTACCGTTATTTTATGTAACTTCTTTTCAGAGATTTTTTTCATCTTTCCTCTCTCCAATCTGTTCAGTATACTACAGAGATAAAAGCCTGGTTGCCTATGTTTGTGCTGTGATAGTCTGATCACACTACCTGAACAAAGACCACTCTTGAAGCATTTTAGCCCTCTGCCCTTGCCTACATTAGTCTCCCTCAACTGCCCAATTGTACAATGGATTCTGCCAGTTCTATCCGCTGTATGATCTGACACAAAGTTCATGCAAGGCAGCTTCTACTTGGCTAAAGTGTGTCATGGCCATGATAAGTCAACAGATCTCTTGCCTTGGCCAGAGTCACCAGGAACCTCCATCCATAATGGGCATAGGATGTCCATTTCAGATCATGTTTGAGCTACTTCAGATGTGCATCTTTCTCTCTGTGTCATAGTCTTCTGCAAAGTCCTTGGATATAGGTTGTAGCCTTGTTTTCAGTCCTTCTATGACCTTTTCACCCTCTGCTCCCAGCTCTATCACTAGGATGGATCCCAGGCCTTTTTCATTGTTTGCTGCATAGGAGATTGTTGACAGCTCTGCTTGCCACATGGAGATGCTGCAGAACTGTTACCTGGTCAGAGAGGCACTGCCTGCACTGGAATTAGCTCCTGTCTTGTTCACCCTTGTGGGGCAGGTCCCCTCTGCCTTCTCTCTGACACAGTGATCCAAGAACGGAACCTTCCAAATGCAATCCTTTCACTCTTGCTTTGAGCTGGTCCAGCCTCACTTCTCAAGTTTCAGATGTGATATTCTGTGGCAATACAATTACAAGACAAAATTAGGGAAAAAATTGCAAAAAATTTTGAGTTTTACTATCATTTTCAAGTGATTGAATTTTTAATTGCATCTAACTGTACAATGCTATGTTGTCAGATATCTATGCAAGGCCATGGCACAGTCTTAACAAGTTCTCTTTTTGCTTGATATTGCAGTGGTTACATATCATCTAACAGTGTTTTCTAGAAATATTTTGAGTGAGAGAAATTCAGTGCACATGACTGCATGTATATATGGTACTCATGGTGACACAGGAGACAGATCCCTTCTCAGGCCATTGCACAATGTCCAGCATGGAGAGGAAAATGAGGTACACTGCCTTAAAGTACTTTAAAACTTACACTTTAATTAATTCTTGAACTTCCTATATATTATTTTCAAATTTTCCTATACTGTTAAGTAATGTAGCTTAAGATTGCAATACTGAAAATTTTTATTTTAGTCATTTCTAGTTACTGTGGATGCTGTTGAGTTGGGAGAACTGGACAAAATTGTTCTTTTGATCAGCAGCAAAACAGGTAAAGTACTTTTTACTTTCCAAAGTCAGTGATGGGAATCACACAGCTATCCTCCTGTTAAAGGTAACTAAATTACTGCTGGAGTTAAACATGAATTAATTTCCTTTGGCTCCTTTTATAAAAGGTAATATTTTATAAAGTAAAATCCTACATTTTGATATATTCGGATCTTTGGATCTAAAGTCTATATCATTATTGCATCAAGAATGTATACTACCCTATTGCATAAAAGAAAGAAAAACATAAAATTAGGATGAATAATTATATTATGCTATTATTACATCATCTATTAATAAGTGATCTAGGAGAATAATTATAACTGAAATAAGAAATTGGTATTGTTTAATATTCCTTCTGTGATTCAATTATTTTCACTATTTTTTCTACCTGTTCTGTTTTCTCCCTGGGACATTCATAAGGGAATTTTACCTCTGTTTGTTGGTCAGCAAGTTTTGACACTGAACTTCCTTAAAATCGTCATGACTTTAACATCTTTTTGCCTCCTCTGTAGGACAGTTATCATGCTATGAGGGAATATTGAAAAAAATTAATTATATATATTTTTAAAGTCTGGTAATGAAATTTGCTATTTAATTGCAAATCATTACTTACTCTGTATTACAGCTGATCATTTTCAGACAGTTTTATAGGAAAACAGAGGTTCTATGTCTGCACTTTATCTTTCTTTTTCTTTTTATTATGTAGGCTCTTCATAAAAGCCTTTTAGACTCACTACCCAATGTCAACTAAATATGTAAGATGACATTTGGGCAATAAGCATGTGCATACTCATTGGCTGGTCAACACATCCTGCACCACAGCACAGGCTGCATTGTTTGCTGGGGGTTTCCAAGGGGCTACAGTGTGGAGTTGCAGTTACTACAGAGGGGAAGGGAAGGAGAGGCAGAGCCCTGCTATGCTGTTGTGGGGAGCAAGGTGTGCTTTTGTTCCCCACAGCTTCAGTTGTGGAAGTTAACTATTGCCATCTGCCTGGCTGACAGTCATTGAATATGGCAATTATGTGTGGCCGAAGGGCACTACAGATACACGACAGGAAAGACTGTTCCATTCAGGTTTGAAAACACAGTTCACAAAGGAGGGACACTGGGCTTATTGCCTATGTGTCTTATGAAGAGAGGATTGGGCAGATGTATAATAGATTTCTTCCAAAGGAGTTACTTAGATGATAAAACACTTCAGATGAGTAAGGGTATCTGTATTGTAATTAGACTGTAATTAGATAAAAATCCTGAAAACCAAAAAAGCTCCCTAGTGTTTAAAGTCACAGAATTATGGAATCACAGAACACACTGAGTTGGAAGGCACCCACAGGGTCATAGAGTCCAAGTGTTATCCCTGCGCAGGACCATCCCCAAGAGTCACACCATGTGCCTGAGACTGTCATCCAAATGCTTTTTAACTCTGTCAGCCTTGCTGTGACCACTTCTCTGAGGAGCTGTTCCAGTGCCCAGCCACTCATTAGATGAAGAACCATTTTCTAATATCCCACCTAAACTTCCCCTGTCACAACTTCAGGCCATTCCCTCTGGTTTTGTCACTGGTCACCACAGAGAAGAGATCAGTGACTGCCCCTTCTCTTCCACTCATGAGGAAGTTGTAGAGTGCAATGAGGTCTCTCCTCAGTCTCCTCCAGGCTGAACAGACCAAGTGACTTCAGCTGCTCCTCATACGGTTTTCCCTCAAGGCCCTCAAGGCCCTTCACCATCTTTGTTGCCCTTTTTTGGACACTTTCTAACAGCTTAATATCTTTCTTATATTGCAGTAACCAAAACTGCACACAATATTCAAGGTGAGGCTGCACTAGTGCAGAACAGGACACAACAGTCACCTCCCTTGACCAGCTAGCAAGGCTTTGCCTGATGCCCCCCAGGACACAGTTGGCCCTCCTGGCTGCCAGGGCACCGCTGACTCATATTGAACTCAACGCTGACCAGGACCCCCAGGTTCCTTTCCACAGCACTGCTTTCCAGCATCTCATGCCCCAGTCTGTATGAACATCCAGGGTTGCCCCATCCCAGGTGTAGAATCTGGGACTTTCCTTTGTTGAACTTCGTATAGTTGGTGATTGCCCAGTCCTCAATTTTTAAGGTTCCTCTGGGGGCCCTCCCTGTCTTCAAGCAAGTCAGATGTACGCTGCAGGACTGGTCAGCCCAGGCAGAGTATTGCTCTAATATACTTATACTTTCATTCAGTATCTGAGCAGGTTTTTAAGATCAGGTTGCTCAAGGCCTTCCTGAAGCTTCTGATTCACTCCCTGCACTGTCTTGGCAGGTCATAAGTGTAATACAACGTCCTGGATTCCTCCACAGGAGTCTGATTATATCTACTTGAACAGTAGTAGAAGGCTGTAGAATGCAGTTAGTAGAATGCATTTTGTTGAACAGGGCTGAAGCGACAAATAATAGAAGAGAAGGGAAAATGAATAGTCTTCATGAATAACTAGCGGCAAGAAATTCAGGCCATGTAGCTGAAGCCCCCAGCAGAAAATTCCAAAGGTAGTGTAAGTCAGAGTGCAATCTTTCTCAAACAGCAGAGGGATACAGTGAGTTGCTGAACTTTTTTCATACCTGCCACCTCTTCGTGCTGCGTGTGGAATAGAGCTCCAGCCCTCTTGTCAACCAGTCGCTGAGGATGGAACACCAGCTGTGTATTTCTACTCTCTCTTCTCAAACATGCCTGCCTCAGTCATGCTGAATATTATCTGCTTGCCTGTCCAAGGATGGTGAAGACAACACTCCTTTGCTTCGCTAATGAAGATAAAGGAAATGTTTACTCCTAAATTTCTAAGTTGAGGTTTACAAATACGAACAAAATAAAGAATCTTGTAATGATTCCAACATTTTAAACTCAATTGTCGTCATTCATAAATTAATTAATAAATGATGTTTTAATATATTAGGAATGACATCATTATATAAACAACAGTCTACCTAATTTCTTGATATGCAACGCAACATTTTTACCCAAATCTGTTTCCTTCTTTGTAGACTGCAAACTGAACATTAAAAAACTGCATGTGAAAGAAGCTACAAAGGAGTATCCTATCTATGTATTTGAAATTAATGAGTAAGTATATCATGGAAAGCTAGTCATGTTTTTTTAAAATGTAATAGTTGAAAACACTGAATCAAAGTAACTACCACAAAGTGGTTCTGTGAATAGATATTTGAAAAATAAGTCCATCTTTAACTGTTCCACATAAATTCATAGGATTTTTTTGATTTAACATATGATTTACCACAAAAACATATGTGGTTTTGTTTTTCAGAGAATTTTCTGTGGATGCAAATAAGCCTGAAATACAGAGAGATATCCCAAGATCTTTTGTTATTAGAGGAGATAAACAAAAGAATGCCTTAGATAACAACTTAAATAAAGATAGAAGTCAAGCAAGAAATGTGACAGAGTATACTATTAAAGTGTACACAGGTGACAAAAGGGGAGCAGGGACTGATGCCAATGTGCATATTATTTTATTTGGGAATGAGGACAAATCTGAGGTATTTCAACTTTCTCAGTCACTAGAGCATCAAAACCCCTTTGAAAGAGGAAAGGTGAGTATACAGATTTTACAGGTTGTGTCCGTTTCTGTACTGGTAAAGCAAATTTTAAATCTCTGCAAGTTCTTTAGAGAATTTGCGGCATTTATTCTGTTTTCCACATCACTAGATGAGATTTTTTCCCAACTATCTCTGTTTCACCTTTTCACCAGAGTAACCAAGGGACATTTTACTTCTACTGTCTCTGTTGCTCTTCTGTCTCTTAGTCCCAAACACATTTTCAAATTACATCCACTTATCTGCCCAGTTATTAATTTCCTTATTCTGAAATGCACAACATGCATTGCCTGAGCATGTGCATATATGTGAAATATCCCATGATGTTGCACAAACTTTGAATATTGTGCGTGAGAATACATCGGTCTCTTACATCCCATCATTTTACTTTGCCATGGAAACTGATGCTGTGAGCCTCACTGAATGTGTAAGCCTATAACCAGATAAAGTGGAACCATACACATCAACCTGATTCTGATATCCATCTTGCTTTAGGCTGTTATTGAGAGACTTAATAATTCAGATACAGATATTTGCATAAGAATGCAGATTCTTTGCATTACGTCCTAGTACCTTAGCTGAATGTTCCCCTATTTTAATAAGCATATTACTCTGGCAAAACAATTGCTCTGTTTGGTCACCACCTGTGCAACAGAGCACAATGATGGTTACCCTTAAGTAACAAGAAATATATATTTTTTTCCATATCTTTCTCCTGTGGATTTATTGAAAGGTAATGACTGAATAATTAGAACTCAAGTGAAAATATCTTCTTTTAAGAGATGTACCTAATTTTCTCCAGTATTACTAAACATCTTTTTACCTTCCTTTGGTCCAAGTTTCTTCAGCCAGGGTATCTGTGACTATCTTCTAAAAGATCTTTACCCATGAATTGTCTTCTATACTGAGGAGGTTAATAAATCTGGTTACCTACAGGCAAAAGGAACAAGTAAAAAAGTGTACTGAGCAGTACTTCCTTTTGCCTACTACTATACAGGAGGTGTATGTATCCACTCTGAAAAAGAAGAGTAGATACATAGAAATCCTGTTAGCAATACAGCTAAGTCAGTGGGTAGCCAGTGATGTCAAATGCCTTATGAAAGAGGAATCTCATTTAAAAAAAAAATCTGCAATATGAAACAAGGTAATATTTTAAAGAATACAGTGTTTGAGAGAGATAATGGTACATGTAGGAAAAGCCTTTATCTTTTATGTTCTTGAATGTTTATTTATATATTGTATACCAGTAACACTTTAGAGGACCATATCGGTTGAGTATTCATGAGACCAAAAATGTTTTTCTGGTAGACGAAAGTCAGGAAAGAGGTGGAGATTGTCCTACTGTAAATTGAAAAGTGAATCTTTTATGTATAAACTGAGACCTAGTAGGGCAGGATCTATACCACACATCTTCAGTAAGGAAAATAAACCAGCTGTGACTCACCTATTTTGAATTGGTATTATTATATTTGAATTAATCTCAGAACTGACCTAAACAAATTTGTAAGTTTCCAAACATTGGTATAGGTATAATATTTTTAATAGCTGTATTTTAATATTAAAGGTCGATACATTCAAGATTAAGACAAAAAAATTAGGCAACCTGTATTCAATTGAAATTGGTCACGATGGGAAAGGATTCGGTGAGTATACTGCCTGCGTTCAGTAGCCTTGTAAAAGTCTTCTGCCTAAAGATCTGCTTGACATTTGGAAAGGTGTTTGAAGTCATACTCTGCTACAGCTAGCTAATACAAATCTGTGTACAAATGAGGTCAGATTCACTGCGCTTGCTTTCACCCCCTCTGTCTTTCGCATTTCCCTTGACTTTAATTTGAATTTTTTTTTCCTAACAGAGATCAAGTTAACGTAAACCTCAGATGGTTTTATCCTTCAAACATTGCTCAGCCAAAACCCTTATTAGGTGTCTTACATAAGATAGGATTGAATTTTCAAACTGCAGGCTAAACTTTCCATGATTTGAGCAAGTTTTGGACTCTGGTCAAAGCATGCTGTAGCTCCCTCTCACACACGTAGGGCTTTTCTTCTTGTGAAAGTATGAGGAGAACATTCGTGTGCCCCAGGTCTTGCCCTGATGTTAGGTGAGGATGTGCCTATAGTGCATAACCACATATGATGATGGAAAATGTTTCGATGTACAGTGTGTTACATGTAATCTCTAAAACCTGAATTTTACATAAAAATTAAGTGGGAGACTACAGCATATAATCTTTTGAGTTTATATTTAACTGTGATAAAAACCCCTAGGAATATACAGATATCAGATGTATACAGATATACAGAGATATAGAAACACATAAACTGAATTTGCAGGTAATGTAGAACTTGAGTCAAAGAGGTCTGATTGTGTTGAGATACTCTAGTCAGGTGAAATTTGCTTAACCCATCTCAAAGAAACAGGTTTAATAAAATCTGATTAATCTAAGTTCATGGTGCACTATATAGTGGCAAGGGTTTATCATTTCCAGGATGAACCAAGCAAAATTCTGCAAATAGCAGTTCTTATTTGGAAAAAGTTGAACAGGTTTGGTTTTTTTTCCTAACTACCCAGTCATGTGGTATATGTCATGTTGTTGAAAACTCAAACAGAAAAATCACCAAACCTGTTGAGATACCTATAATAAATAAAATCCTTATGCTGACTTTCATCCTGCTGTGCATGCACACAATTCAGTTTAGGACTGATTCCCAATGTGGGAAGTGAACTCTACACTGGCAGACTTCTGACACTCCGAGAGTTGCACAGAAGTCTGCAGGGGAAATAATAGGTTGAATTTTTATTTCCTAGATCCTGAACTATCAACAAAATTATTATCTTTTCTCTCTGTGCCCTGATCAACATCACATAGCTGCTAATACTGCCTTCCTAGCACAGCTGGTGTGTGCCAATTCATCTTACAAACATGACTACCTTCCTCTAAATTTTTCTCTGAAATTATTTCCAAGTGTCTCTTGTCACATCAGCTGTTACCTTCACAAGCTTCCTCAAATGTAACAGCTCTTTGAAATGTTTCATCTGTTTGCTAATATTTCCTAGATGCCTCTAGATTTCTCCATACCTGGATATTTCAGAGAGGTCTGTTGGAGTTTTATCAACAAAGGAGGAAGCATTAGATTTTAATCTTTTCAAGAGAACAAACATGCCTTTATGTTCTTTTGTAAAGTGCTGTGTAAATTTGAGAGACTGTAAATTTTTATTGCTGATAATCCTGACTCTGAATTAGAGATTTCATGAAAGGTCATATATTCCAAGTAGAGTCTATGATATATTAAACCATTCACAAGATTTCATTAAAGGAGTTCCAAAAGTACTTCACAATATCAATAAATGAATCTTGTGAATTGAAGATGGAAAACCTAGGCAAGTTCATGGCCTAGTTATACCAGCTATTTTTTTGAAAATGCCAATGAAAAATGAGAAAAGTTGCAATGCATTTACATTTTATCCAAATTGAAACAATTTACAAATATTTTCACATTCCATTTTTAGCCTACTTACAAATAAAAATATTTTTATTGGTTTTAGCCTGTTTAGAACTTTGTCCAAATATTTGAAAACCAAATTAATTTCATAGAATATAGTTCTTTATCTCTAGGGCACACAAAGAATGCCAAAAGGTAATCAGCTAATAGCAGTATAATTCTAATGAGTTTTAAAATATTGTCATTAAGTATTTACTTTGGCAAACACGACTAAAGATATCAGCAAAAACATTGTATGTATACGTAAAAGTTTCAGGTTTAAAATCTTAATATTTTAATATTCAATGAAATAAAATTCTGTATCACAAGAATGAAGGCATTTTTCGCACAGCGAAATAGGAGATTATAGTATAATATTCAATACTTTATTAAAGCTGAAACAGATATGAGTGTTGGCCTAAATGGAGATGCTACTCTGAATCACGGCTACTGGAGACATCGATTTATGAGGAGAATTCAGATTCACCACTTGGTTTATATACATATCAATATATTAATTAGAAGGGAGTAGTTGAATGCCCACCAGAGGTGCACTTTGAGTACATTTCTGAGTACAAAAAAGGGCAAAATGGGTTTTCAAGAATGTATTCAATATTACCATGCACTGTTTCATTTGCCTTACTGCCTGCTCCGTTCAACATGGAAACATAAGTTGAGTTGTAACAAAAATCTTCCATTACATTTTCTTTTCTTCGATGCTCTTCAAAAGCATCAAAGACCTTCCCTGTAAAACTAGGGAGAAGTAGGTAGTAATTTGAATCATCTAAATTTCAGTTTTATTATTGATGTTGAATACTGAACCAGACAGGGTTTGGAAATGAAATTAGAAACACTTCTTATGTTCTGTTTGTGTTTGGATTACATTAGATTTAGTTTTTGTGGTTTTTTTTTTTTTTTTGTTTTTTTTTTTTTTTTTTTTTTTTTTTTTTTTTTTTTTTTTTTTTTTTTTTCTCCTCTACAGCAAGTGGCTGGTTTCTGGAAAAAGTGGAAATCACAGATGCATCTAGAAATTCAGTGTATTGCTTCTACTGTAACAGGTCAGTAGATCAGTCCATCATCACTCTGTACACACTGTTTTCTTTTCCACAAGAATTAGGAGCAGTCTTTTTAGTCTTTCTGTTCTTTCTCATCTGGTTTTCTAAAACAGTAAGAACTTTTTTACACCATGCCATTTTCCTATCAGTCCATCGCCAATGACTTTTGAACCATTTGGCCAATTTCAAACTAATTTGTTAGAAGAATTGTTGGAAGAAGACACTATATTTTTCCAAGAAATTAAAACTGAATGACTGAAGAAGGGAGAGACACAATTTAGTGCCTTTGCCAAAAGAAGGCATTTGTATGTATTTTCAAAAAGTGGAAGATGACTGGTGAACCATTATACACAAGCATTAGATCATATGTGGCTCTGACAAACATATCATGGGTAAGAAAACAGGCAAGAGAGGGAATCAGAAAGGAGGATGGTAGGATATGGCAGTAGAGATAAAAAACTGGAGTAAAAGGAGTATATTTTACTGAGAAAAAAAGCAACATTAAAACATTAGAATCGTTCTCTTTCTGGGTTTGCTTGCTATGGGTCTGAGATATATCCAGCAAATAGGATAAAAACAAAAGAAAGCTTTATATAATGTGATGTAGGAGGATAATGATCTAAATTTCTAAATTTATTTGGATTCTGGGGTGCTGGTGTAAAGGGCTTCTAATGTACAAGAAGAAGATGCACTTTAGTCTGCATCAAACTGAAACAGTACAGTTTCAAAAATTGGAAATTAAATTGAAGGGTATATTTGGAGTGACTGCTCACTATAGTATACAGTTCCCAGCTTGAAGAATTTCAGAATAAGCAACTGAAGCAAACATATTCATGTCTTCCCAAGTGGAAATCAGCTTTTTAAAGCATCTGGAGAACACATAAGTGTGAAAATTTCCAAGTTCCTTGTATCTAGAGAGGGGAATGTTACCTGGTGGTCTGAAAACAGAAATATCAGTCAAGAATATTTCATTTATCCTTTCCCTAAATATTTCTGTAAACTTAACAATTGAAGGAAGCCAAAGCCCAGCCCTCTACCCAAAAAAGTAACTTTTGGGGGTTTTGGATAGTCAGTCATGAGAATGTGAGGCTGTTACTGACCCTAACAACATTAAACTTCTTCCAACAACATTAAACTTCCCTTCACTTAACTTCCTCCAAACACATACTCAGTTACTACCTAGTCTTCCAAATACCTAAATTTAAGTTCGTGGATAGGAACAGAAGTCCTTAAACCACAATATCACTCAGGTGTGAAACACAGTCCATAACAGAATTTTCAGTTGATGTCACTCCACCTCTTTTACTTGTAAGAGTTTTTGGACCACACCAGTCAGAGGAAGATTCTTGAAAACGATAGTTTGCAACAAACATTTTTTTTTCCAGAGATTTTCTTTCAATTCTATTTAAAGTATTGTAGTAAAACCACGTTTGTGGTATATGAGAGACCCATTTGGCATAAGAACTCGAATCACATCATTGATGTGGGGGAGTGACTGACACAGATTGATTCTACATGCTGCTGACTAGGACATTTAACAGGGGCTTTGGTGGCCCCTTGGAGGGTTAGAGCTGTATGCTTACTTTGATGTATACCTACTCACCCAAAATGGAAATATTGAAGTGAACTACAGGTTACTTATATGACCAAGAAATAAAATGAATGTATATTCCATAAATATACCCATAAAGTTAATTACACTTTTAAATTACATATATAGGGATACTAAACCAAAAATTAAAAAAAAAAAAAATCACTAATTTTTTTTCAGGCTGGTTTCTGCTTCTGTATCAACCAGTGTAAAAGCTCTCCTAGAAAATCAAAGGTGCAGAAACGGGCTCTCTCAAGTTGTCTGTTTATTAAGGTTTACATATGTTGTGTTCATGACAGGGTTTTTATGTTTTTCCCTTAAGGTGGCTTTCTGAAGATGAAAGTGATGGCCTCACCACAGTGCAACTTTATCCATAGCTGCTTGATTTATGATTATTTCTGAGTGTGTTGCTTCTCCAAATTCATGCTGATTTGATTTGATTGTATTTTATAACTCTGAAGGTATTGTAATTTTTGTGCAGAAATGTCAAAACAATGAATTAAAAACATCACAGTAAATTAAACATATCTAATGTGAACACAGAATTCTGATCCTACTGGAGATGCCCAAAAGCTTTGCATGACTGAAATTTAGATATCAGAAATTTAAATATATAACACGGCTCTGTGGACTTGATCTGAGCAATCATAGTGGTAGACATATGTAGTAACATACTCAAATATTTTTGTTTCAGCAATAATTTGTGGGTAAGCTAAGTTTAGCTCTTGTATCAAATCTGTCAGTATTTACTAATTTGATTAATCTTTTTCAATATCAACATTTATTAAAATTTAGATTTTCTCTAAATCATTTTCCAAACAAATTGCACAATGCTTTAGCCTTACCATATATTACTGTCCTTTCCTATAAGACCATAACAGAGAGTAATAAAGACCTTGTTATTTAGGAGTTCACCCTGTGTTGGTAAGTCTCTCACTGACATTGATTGTAAAATCAACTGAAACAGAAACTCAGCTGTGAACTTTTAGATCCAAAAATGTCTTAAGAGAGGCTGTTATCAGCAACACTGCAATAGCTTACTGGCAGGCTTAGGCAGCTCCCTGCTTAGCTGAAGGACTTTTGCAGTGCCTGTCCTTAGCCAACTAACTGGCTTTGCAGTACAATATGTGTGAACGCCTTTACTTCAAAGAGAGAGAGAAAAAAAGAGAACAATTATTTTTGCAAATGCACAATAAAATAGTAACATGTTTAGCTATAAATGCACAAATTAATGTTTGGTTTGGTAGGCTTTGATATGGCCAGGAATTGACTCAGGAAGAGTTTAGGATCCAGACAAGTCTGAACTGAAATCATGACTCACATATCACCAGAAGTTTCACGTGTGTGATCAAAATACAAATATTGTATTTAAGCTACGTAGAGCATCCCTCTGTTAATCAAAGGCTTCACCTTTGTACTTCCAAAATCTAAAATCTTTATCAAGCTCTGAAATTTAGACCTCAAGATTCACCCTCAAGATTCCATCATGTTCTGTAGCAGCAATGTGCTTTCTATAATTACAAAAATTAAATGAGCTTCTAATCTGTGTTGATGAAACATTGTCTGGCTGTCTTTTTAATATGTGTAATGTTTGTTTACTTACATTATTCTGTGAAATGAGGATGCTTGAAATTTGTATGTGTGTGGAGATCTCAGTTGTTACTTTGACCCAAAAAATAATAAATGCATATAATTGGTCTTGATATGTAATATCATTTTATCTACCTTTACCTACCTATGTCATCAAAAGGTGTAAGGTGTGAATGTGGTCAGTGTGAGCAATGGAACAGATTTAATTTCTTCTAAAAGTGCTTTTTTTCTTTTTCTTTCTCACACTGCTACTACGCTCTCTGGAATGGACTTGAAATTGTATCCCCAGAGTGCACAGTTCACTTACTTAGTATCAGTATTCATTACACTGAATCACTTCGTTGTGATCTATTATGTGATTTGTTTCATTATTATGTCTTTCATTAATAGTTTGTAATACTAGCTCTCTTTGATGTCATTTCTGATTTATCAAGTGTAAATGATGCCTTCCTAATCTGTTTTTCATTACTAAGAGTGAATACCCCTCCTTCTACAGCTGCCTTCCATATTTGAAAATTATTTTCTCTACCTATAGGGTGTCTAAATCAGGTTTTTGATTCCCTTCCCTTGATCCAGAGGCATGTAAACACCTCTCTACCCCTTCCATTAACAGGACCAGCATAGCAGAGGGCTTCGGTTCAAGAGCATCATGGGTGCTTGCAGGAGATTTCACTTTGGTAGGAAAACCTGAAATACCATATAACCTCCTGTTCAAATCTTTCTTGGAAGACATGCCAGTTAGGATATTTAGCTTGTGACCAGTGCCAAACCCCAAATGTGCTTCTTCCACGTGGTATACAGCGATGTCTGCTGTGTTTGGCACAGAAGTCACTTAGTCTCTGTCCCTTGCCAGTGGGATGCTTTTTGGAAGAATTGCTGGGACATTACAGACTTGCCTCCTTGTGTGCACTCTGCTGTTCCTACACAGCAAGGGTGCTGCCCTGTCTTTTTCCTCCCAGTACCCTTCCCTGCCTATGGAGAGCCTGGGCATATATTGACACCGCTGATGCCTCTGTGGGGAACAGAGATATAGCATGGAAAAGAGTCTGCCTGGGTAAACAAGAAACCCATGAATCTGGCACACAAAGAAGTCTTGGAAGGGGCAGAAAGAGAATTCAATCAGCTGGGGGAGGCAAGGCTGTAGTGGAGAGAAGGGTTTGTCTTCAACTGCCTCTCCCTGCTGCAACCTGTCCTTGAAGATCTGTGCAATAGGGCAGTGGCTAGAGGATTTTGCTGCTATTGTGATTATCATTATTATTAATTTAATTTTGCACTGCAGAGAAAGCCTGGAGCTAGGGCTAAAATATATATACCCTGAAGATCATAATATAGATTCTTAGACAAAACAGAGCCTGAAAGTGGCCATTAAAGGTCCGGTATTGGTTAACTGTATCTTTTTTCTTCACCCACTTCTCCTGGTATGCTGTTATATATATATTATTAGGTTGATCTAGGTGACACATTTTTGCCCATTTAAGCCCTTAAGTGTCTTAGTTTATTTTGCTGACTATGTTAAGGACTTGAAAAAAATATTACAATGCTCTCACTGGCTCAGTGGACCATTTAATATTCTCCCAGCAACTCCAAGTACTGCCTTGCTGAAACTTATCATACATAAGAAAGGATTCCTTCCTTTTAAGTACATACAAGCAGTTATATTGCATCTATCCATTCTGTAGTTTGTCAGTTGTGGAAATGGCATGAGAATAAGAAAAAAGGAAGTAGTACCAAGTTCCCCTTTGAGTTTCTTTAGATGTCTTGGATAGATACCATGTAGTCCTCCATTGTTAGTATTTATAAATGTCTTTGCAAATATAAACAACCTCTGCTGACGTATCAGTTTGAAATGTTCTTTTGCCCTTCTCCACAAAGAAAGGCAGCAGACCGGAAAAGTCCATAAAATCTTCTGTACTGAACAGTGCAAAGCAGTATCATAACTTTTGTGATGGTTGAATCTTTGTCTTACAATCATTTTGCTTGCCTTGAATTCATTTTAAACAGGTGAATCAAAAAGGGGTAAGAAAATGGGACTTTTAATTTTCTTATTCACACTTTTGAAAAGTCTTAATTACATCTTACAGTGTCAGAGGGCATGTGAATATCCCTTTAGGCATTCCATAAATGCTTTTCCCATTTATCAAAAAAAGAAATATGCTTGCTTGTTGGTTGCTTTCTGCATGCAGAATGACAGTGAAAGAGTTATCAGCATTGTACAAAGTTTGCTTCCTTGATGTCTTCCTATATGTCTACGTCGTCTTCTATCATTCCATGTATATTTAGGTCTATCTTTGATTATGTATTTAAATACATACTATGAAGTGACTTGAAAGGTGACTGGCATCCATTTCTAAATAACAAATGTAAATTTAAGAAATCCTGAGTTAAATCTCTCAAAAACTCTGAGAAATAATTTCTTCTTTCATAAATAATATTAAAATCCATATGCTGTCATCAAAGCATGGCTATTCTCTGTCTGCTTAAACCTGGAACCTGTTTATCTAGCTATCTGTCTGTCTATCTATCTATTGATCTAGAATGTGCAGTTGAATGTATTTACATGTTTCTAATGTTTAGACATTCTGGAAATATAATAAAAGAAACCAGGGCCCCAATTCTCCATGAAGTTTAAGTATGTGCCTAAAATGTAAGTATATGCCT